GGGACGAGAAGGGGCGAAAGCAGGTGATACGAGGAGATGGCGAAAGAGACGGCGTCCGGAGCCTTCGGAGATTTCTGCAATCGAGCTCCCACGTCACCAACGGGATGCCAACGACACGTCGCTAATGTAACATGTTTTTCTTCCGTCTGCTCATTTGTCAATCGCCTGACGAAAATGTTTCTAGCCCTAGGGACACTTGGTTATCTAAAGAAATAACGGAGTCTGAAACTTTAGATTAGTGGCACTTACGCAACAACTACTAGATTTGATGAATCTCCTATTATTTTTTTGTGAAATGAATTTCATAATTCAATATTCTGGTTGAAAAACATTACTGATTTTATTATTAAAAAACTTATTTTGATAGTATAATTGTCGAAAAATCACATTTGTTTGGTATTTTTGCCATTTCGTTATCAATTCACATTACATGCTCACGTCTTTTACAGCTAATTTATGTGGGTACACAGATTTATGAATGCGTTTAGCTTCATTTCTTACCCTTTCCACTAACTGGAGACTGCCTAGAAGGACACAAACGCGTAATTTGAATATTCATGCTCTACCTATTTACACCTGCCCAGCATAACATGTGTAAAGGTCATTAGCATTATTATACATTAAGATATTGGCGTTCCTAATATAGTGAGATTGTACCGAAAACAATGAAATCCTTGCTCATATTTGGGGAAAATCAATATTTCTTGTAAAAAGGCTATATTGTTTGGAACAAGTTAATTGAAATAAGTGTTATCGATACGTAGGTAATTCGTAATCAATTTTTTGAGTAATATTAGTTAATTCGACAAGTATCTTTTTAGTCGACTTTTGTGGAATTTTTTCGAGTTAAATATGTGGGATCACATTTACTTTATTGCTTGTTCAAATTCATTCTGACTTCAGATTTTCCAGTATCTATTAATTTTGCGTTATGGAATTTTAAATGCCGATTAGATTGCTTAGATTACATATTTATAAAAATGTGATTTATTAGAATTAATTAAAGTCAAGCAACAAACTCTCGTTGTCGTGTTGTAGAAAATGAATGAACAGTGTTCTGAGTCACATAATTTTCAGCATTATTCATTGAGATATGTAACAGCGTGATTGCCGTACAGGGTTGCTGCGTACAGCGATTTCTGAGACTGGATGTGTAGCGTCGGCACCTTCACCAGCGCCGGTACGTTGCGGCTGACCGGCTGACGTAAGCAAGCACGTAATCGCAGGTGGTTGCCGACGAACGCTGCTCCGATTGCGAATCGGGACGATCTCCGCCGCGGGCGCTGAGTCGGCCGCCGCCGCCGCCGCCGTCGGGAACCGCACTGCTGGGCTCGCCGTGCGTTCGCGCATTGGAATCTGCCACCCGAGGCGGGTGCCCTGCAGCCTAGAATTTCTAGCACGCGCAAGCTTCTCTTCTGACAGATTCGGCTGATTGCTGAAACGTCAAATTTAGGTTGCGACCGATATGTTTCTG